GCCTAGACCTGGAGGCGCGGGAACGCCAAGCCCAGGCCCAGGGGAGTGAGGAGGAAGAGGAAAGCCGAGGTGCCAGCACTCTGGAGCAGGAGGTGAGCATCCGGGTGGTCTGCAGGGGAGGCGGGAGGAGGGTGATGGTCACGGTGGAGAAGGCTGGCTCTACCTTCCTTCTGTAGGAGTGAGCCAGCCTGCACTGGATCTGCACAGGATTGTCATCCCTCCGTCTCCTGCTCTGCAGATCGCACGCCTGCGGGAAGAGGGTTCCCGGCAGCTGGAGGAGCAGCAGCGGCTGATCCAGGAGCAGATCCGTCAGGACCGTGAGCAGAGGCTAAGCGGTGCGTCCTCACCCACGGTGACCGCACTGGCGCTTGGTGGGGCGACTGAAGGCTTCTGCCCCCCAGAACCCCGTGGCACCACGTGAATGCCACCTGCGCCTTCCCACCAGTTGTCCGCAGGGCCTGGATGCCTTTTACGTCACCTGGGGACATGCTGCGTTGGTCTTAGTCCCAAGCAAGATAGTTCTCTTTTGGAGCAGACGACGGTGTCAGGAAGACTGAGGCGCTTTGCACAGTGGAACTGTAGGTTGCCATCAGTGCATCTGGCCCGTAGGAGGTGTTCCCAGTCCTTGGCTTAGAGAGAGCTCACAGGTGGCTTTCTGGAGATGTCCGGCAGGCCTCTCTTCCCCACCAGGCCCCTCTGCGGGGTAGGGCAGGGCAGACGTTGCCCGTCGTCAAGAGTAACCTTTTTTAGGACTGCCAAGGTGTTTGTCCTTTGAGAGAACCTTGGCCCCCCTCATTCTACCTTTCTTCCTTTCCCAATCTTTCTAGGAAAGGCAGAAAATACAGAAAGCAAAGGAACCCCCAAACTGAAGGTGAGTCTTGGGGGACTCGGTGGGCTTCCTCACAACTCTTGTCTCAGCCAGCACAGACACTTCCTGTGGCTCCAACTTTTTGTTGCTGTTGTTGGTTGTGGGATTTGAGCTCGAGGCCTGGATGCTGTCCCTCAGTTTGTTTTGCTCAAGGCTAGTTAGTGTCCTACCATTTTGAGCCACAGCTCAAATGGTTCCACCTTAAAGTCACTCTGGTCTCCAAGGAAGCCAGTGTAACTCCCATCCTTTCCACACTCCAGGGCCTGCAAACCAGGCTGCTCCCAGAACCTGCCACGGGGGTGGCAGGCCTTGACAAAGCAGAGTACCTCCTGGGGTGGGAAGCATCGCTGGGCGTGAGCGGGCTGCCCCGCCTCCCCATTACCACAGGAAGCACCTGTTGGCCGTGCTCCTAGATCACAGGTACTTCGAGGAGCAGAGGGGCCCTGCTCACACTGGCAAGCGCAGTCTCTTGTAGAGTCTGGGATTGTTCTGCCACAGGCCAGTGTCTGTTGATACTTTCTTTCTTTCTTTTTTTAAATTATCAGTCGTGAGGCTTGAACTCTGGGCCTGGGCTCTGTCCCTCAGCTCTTCAGCTCACGACTAGCACTCTACCACTTGAGCCACAGCGCCACTTCTGATTTTTTCTGCTTATGTGGTGCTGAGGAATCGAACCCAGGGCTTCATGCATGCCAGGCAAGCGCTCTACCACTGAGCCACCTTCCCAGCCCCTGCTGTCTTAATTTTTTTTTTTTTGTCGGTCGTGGGGCTTGAACCTGCCATCTTTCTTTTTCAGCTAAAATGGAAATGCCAGAAAGAGGATGAGTCCCAAGGCGGCTACTCCCAAGATGTCCTCCTGCAGCTTTTGAAAAAGGTCTGCGCCAGGCTTCTGGGCTGAGCTGTGCCTCTGCCTGCGCTCGTCTGTGCAGGCCTGTCACGCTCCGGACTTCCCCTCTCATCTCTACCTGCTTGACTTTTATGTTGTTTTCTTGCTTCGTAGACACCTTAGAGACTTCTCCCTGGGCCGTGTCCTCTGTCACTGGGGCGGACACGTCCAGCCTGTTTCCTCCTTTGATGCTCAAGTGTAGCCCTTACCTTTATAAGCACCAGGCTTGGCTACACCAGTTCTAGGAGAGAAGGTGGGGGAGGGAGGCTTGAGAGCCCGTTCCTCTTCCCTGCCTTCAGCCAGCTGGAGCAGCTGTGCCAGCCTAGGTCCCCAGTGAGTTCTTTGCTCATTTCTCCTTGGCTGTCTTGCATTCCTACAAGCAACCTTTCTTTTCCGTCTCTGATCTCACTCCTCTGGTCCCTGAGCAGTAGAAAGGTAACCCTGGGCTGAAATGCCCCAGTAGGCCCAGGGCAGCCAATGCAAGCTGCCAATCAGAGGGCCAGCCAGGCTTACCAAGACCCTTCTTGTCCCACAGTATGGCGAAGTTCTCAACCTGGTGCTTTCCAGGAAGAAGGCAGGCACCGCGGTAGTGGAGTTTGCAACAGTCAAGGCTGCGGTGAGTCCTACATGGGGCTTGCGGGGCCCTGGCAGCCCTGGCACGCTAGGGCAGGAACTCTGTTGTTAAGTCCACACTTTGAGGAGACCTCCCAGCCAGCTCTCAGCCAGCATTTCTACATAGGTCCTCTGACCCCCAGGGCGGGTGGGGTAGCGCACTGACGTGATTTCAGGCTGCCTGCACTCCACACTTCCATCCGGGAGCCCTAGCAGTGCCTTCCCACCCGCCCGCAGCACTCTCACTCCCCAAGCCGAGGGCAGCCGCAGCATGCTACCGTTTCCACCTTGCTGCTGTCCTCAGTGCCGCACGGGGGGGTAGGACACTAGCTCCTTTCTTTGGGGCGGTGGGGGTATAGGGGGACAGGACCAAAGGGTGGATGTTCTGCTTGACAGGAGCTGGCTGTCCAGAATGAAGTGGGCCTGGTGGACAATCCACTGAAGGTTTCCTGGTTAGAAGGTCAGCCCCGGGGCACTGCAGGCCCCAGCCACTCAGGACAATCAAAGGTAAGAAGCCAGGTGTCACCAGCTGGGCCTGCCTGTGTGAGAGCGTCTCAGGCTCTCCCCTCCCAAGTCTAGGTGGACACAAGTGGAGCGAGGTTGACAGCCCACACAGGAAGACCCAGAGGGACCCTCTCCCCTGTGATTTTATTTTATTTTCTGGTGCTGGGGAGCAAATCCAGGGCCTCCTACTTGCTAAGCATACGCTACTGCTGGTGTACCCCCAGCCCTTCACAGTACCCTAAGTACTTCCCTTATCCTGTACTTGGGGAGCCTCTGTCCCCTTCCCAGGAGCCCCTGCTACTGGTTGAAGCACTGGAGCTTGTACAGCACAGTGCTAAAGAAAGAGTCAGGTGCTGGGGGCAGATTTGTCCTTACAAGCTCTTCAGTTTTCAAGATATGTCTCTTAGCTTCCCACACAGAGATTAATTATGAAGAAGCAACATCTCTAGAAATAATATGGCCTCCCGCGGAGCCAAGTCTGGGTAACTGCTCATGTACCTGCCAGCCAGGGCTGGGCCTGTGCTACCTCTAGGATAAGTGTGTTCCCCCTGTCCCTCAGGCCTGCATGCAGAGGGCAGGTTGCAGGGCTTCTGGCTGAGTATGCCCCAGGACTGATCGCTTTAGCAGGGGCAGGAGCCAGGACCCTGACTGAGGCACTTCTGTGTTACGTCACAGCCCTTCACTGGCTTAGCAAGACCTGTGCTCACCCACCTGTCCTGCATCTGCCTGAGGTGTGGACAGAGAAAGACCATGAAGTATTTTTTTTTTGTTTGTTTTTGGTCGGTCGTGGGGCTTGAAATCTGGGCCTGGGCGCTGTCCCTCAGCTCTTCAGCTCAAGGCGAGCGCTCTACCACTTGAGCTACAGCGCCACTTCCTGTTTTCTGGTGGTTTATTGGAGATAGGAGTCTCATGGTCTCTCCTGCCCGGGCTGGCTTTGAACCTCGATCCTCAGATCTCAGCCTCCTGAGTAGCTAGGATTACAGGTGTGAGTCACCAGTGCCCGGCTGACCATGAAGTATTCTAAATAGTCTAAATCAGACTTTGATTAAGAAGAGACCTCAGGGTGGGTACCTGTGGCTCCTGCCTGTAATCCTAGCTACTCAAGGGCTGAGATCTGAGGATCTCATTTCAAAGCCAGCCCAGGCAGGAAAGTCCGTGAGACTCTTATCTCCAATGAACCACCAGAAACCCGGAAGTAGTGCTGTGGCTGTAGTGGTAGAGCTCTTGCCTTGAGCTGAAGAGCTGAGGGACAGCGCCCAGGCCCAGAGTTCAAGCCCCACGACCGACACAAACAAGCAAACAACAAAAACAGAAGAGACCTCAGTCTCACCTTAACATCGTATTTCAGAGCCCAGGTAACACTGCATATGTTGTGTTAAAAAGAACTTTATTACATCCTCTGTGTATAGAGGAGCCTTTCAGCTTAGTTCCTCCACCGAGGAACAAGAGGCGGGGGGGGGGGGAGGCTGCAGAGGCCACGTGTGCCACAGCTCCTTCTCCCCTTCCATTCTTGGGTAGGCTGAGGGTCGGAATCACATAGTCCAATCAAGTGCTGTGGCTCTGGTTTCAGATCTGGCCAGGCCACAGGACAGGGCAATAGCCCAGCTGGTAGCCCTGGCCCAGGGGCGGCCTGGTTGGCAGCCTCCTCATCAGAGGTTTGGGTTGGGCAGAACTCCCTAGTCTCAGGAGAAGATTCCAGAGGCCAGCTGTGCCTCCTTATCACTTATCTTCATCCTCTGACTCAACCCTCCCCTCTTCTAGATGGGAAGTCCTCCCCTTTTCTAGATGAAGTCCTCCCCTCTTCTGGACAGAAAGTCCTCCCATCTTCTGGGCAGGAAGTCCTCCCTCTTTTGGACAGGAAGTTCTCTTTTCTTCTGGACAGGAAATCTACTACTATTTTCACAGCATTTCCTAAAGACTGGGGTCACTAATAGTGCTAGATAGACCCAAAGTGCCGTGGCTTTGCAGGCTGGGGCCTTGCTGGTAGCTGGCGGTCCGTCCTGCAGCTGCTCCGTCCAGCGGGGCTGAGCAGCCAAGTGGGCAGGTTGAAGCGCTTGTGGCCTCCTTTCTGCTGATGGTGTGTTTAGCCTGTTCCTTTGCCTCCCAATCTCTCCCACTGTCGTGTCCTGTCAGTCCCTTGCCCCGCCGTCCACTGATGGCTCCAGAAACACCAGTGTTGCTCAGCGATGCCGGTCTCATGCTGTGCTGTGAGTGGGCGGCACCGGCGAGGCCTTGGTCCAGTGAGCCTCGTGTCATGAGGCCTGGGTTTGTTTTATAACTTGCATTGAACTGGCACTTAAGCATCCAGTGTAGCAAGTGGCGACTGGCTTGGGCTGTTTCCTCGTTCTCTCAGCACCCCCCTTCCTGGCGGCCTGGGTTGGACCCCGTCTTCCAAGTGCGGGGACCTGTTACTAGTGGCTTTTAAGAAGCTGGCACAGGCACGGCGTTCTGCCCACACTGTCCTCCCACACCCTGACTCGGCCTCTCCTCCTCTGTGGGCCTCTGCCTGGCTCCTGTGGCTCAGGGTGTGGCCTCCCTTTCCTGGCCTCGCCAGCTTCCTTCCGGGCTACTGCCAGAAAGGATCCCCAGCATTCCCAGTTGGGGTGAGGTGGAGAGCCATGGGTCTCTGCCCCTGTCTGATCCTTAATCCCCTGCTGCACCTTCCTTCCCGGGTCCCCAGGCTTTGTTCCTCCTGTCACCCCAACTTCGCCCGCCCTCACCACACTCAGCAGCGGGGCTCGCTGGGGAACTGCTCCTGCAGCATCTGTAGAACCTCCTCCAACAGTGAGATCCCCAGGTCCACTTTGAAGGAGACGAAGGGGTCACCGAGGTCGGGAGCAGGCGTCCTCGGGCGGGCGGGTGTGGCCGAAAGGTCCTCCTCGGAGAAGTGGTGGAGCGGGCCCGCCAGGGACAGCGCGGAGGGCAGGGTGGCGGCGTAGGCGGCAGTGTAGGGGGTTGGGGGCTCCAGGATGTTGGGGCAGCTGGAGCTTTCTCGGTACAGACGAGGGGGCTTGGGAGGAGCCAGCAAGGTGGCCCGGGGATGTTCATCCCCCCACAAGGGGAGACGCCGGCCATCTGGCCTCCCTTTCAGTTCCCGGATGACCTCGCGGTTGCTGTACTCCTCGTGGTCGCCGCCCGCAGTGCTGGCCTGGCTGAGCACGCTGCCCTGCCTCCGCAGGCGCCGGGGCCGCCCCAGGGTCAGCCGCTTGAAGAAGGAGGCATTGCGGAAGGAGCCTTTCCTCCAGGTCTCCATGTGCCCTGGGGAGGCAGCGGACAGGCCTGTCCTCTCAGAAGCCCCGCACAGGTGTCCCAGAGCAACTAGTGACCATTGGTCCCTAGTGGATGCCAGGAATCGGGGAGACAGCCCTGGCAGGGGCTAGAAGCAGCCCTGGGTCTCTGCTCAGCCAAGTCCTCGGGCCTGGAAGAGGGAGCTCCCCAGGGATCCTGTGGCCTGGTTACTTCACAGGACGTGGAAAAACCCCAGAGGAAAAAAGCAGCACTTACGAGGTGGAGCGGGGGCCGCGGGGCCACCGAGCTGGATCTTGGCTGGCCGGGGCTCCTTGCGCTCAGCCTCCACGCGCTTGCTCCTAGGCAGGAGGCAGAGGCCCCCCCGCTGGCTGTCGTCTCTGGCCCTGGGCCTCAGTCTAGGCCAGCAGAGGACTGTGCCCGTCTGCCGCTGCTGTGGGACTGATGAGTGGCGTGGCTGTGGTGGCAGCGCGGCAGCGATGTGTTTGTTTCCAGCTGACTCAGTCAGGTGGGAAGCTGGGTTTCACGCTGTGAGGTCATTGCAGCATCCGCGGGCTGGGCGCTGTGACCCACACCCCAGGGCAGTCGGGAGCTTTGGATTCCTCCTAGGACTGGTCTGGGGCAGCCTGGTTGGTGTGTCACCAAGCTTCCTTTCTCACCACAGCGCCCCCCCTCTCCCCCCAAGCACTCAAGGGCCCTGCGCCCAGCCTCCAGTGTGTCTGGGAGGAGCGCAGCGAAGTGGGAGCTAATTGAAAGGCAGGCGTGTGGAACAATTGTTGGGAAGGAAGAGACCTGCTGCTGGTGGGGTGACTCAGCCCTGGGGCTAGTGACAGGGCTTATTAGCACAGCCTGCCGGAATGGGGGGGCGGGGTGTTGATGGGGAGCAGCCCCATGCCTGTGAAGGGCCCGCTCCTCCCAGGGCCGGCAGGGGCATGCCAAGGGCAGCTCCAGGTTCTCCTGGCAGAGCAGCGTGGCCTCCTTGCCCTCACCTCCAGGCTGGCTGCTGCTTCCTCCTCCTCCTCTACCTGGAGGGCCTCCAGGCAGTAGAGCAATTAGGGCCAGAGTCCTGCTCCCCCTCTGGCTGCGGGGCCCTGTTCTGAGCCCTTCTTCTGCAGAGGGGGCTACCCCTTCCAGAGATGTCCTGGGGGCCTGGCTGAGGGCCGCTCAGGAGCCAGGGTAGGGGTAGGCCGGGCTGTGCAGGTGAGGATCTGAGCAGCACTTTCTGTTGCTCTTTACCCCCTCCTTCAAACCAGTTGGCCTGGACTTGGCTACTTCATGCCAGCCACTCCCCTGTTCCTCCCCATCTGAGCCCCTGGCCTCCTCCTGGCCTGTCCGGTGAGCGCCAGCCAGATGGAGAGCCCCAGAGCAGGGCTGCACAGCTCCGCTACAGACAGGCCATGGCATCTGCACCCCCTCTGTCCTGTTGACCACAGGAAGGGCTCCCGGCTTCTGCTGCTCAGACCTGTCAGAGCGAGCGTGGGATCGGCAGCTCAGGGCTCTGCTGGGTGCAGCCATTGTGGTGGTGATTACTCTTGTGATGATTATTTTGTGTGTGTGTGTGTGCGCGCGCGCGCTCCACACTTGGGGTTTCAATGCAGAGCCTGGGTCCTGTCCCTGAGCTTTTTTGCTCAAAGTTAGCACGCTACTTTTCAACCATAGCTCCACTTTGGCTTTTTTTTTTTTTTCGGTTGTGGGGCTTGAACTCGGGGCCTGGGCACTGTCTGTCAGCTCTTCAGCTGAATGCAAGCACTCTACCACTTGAGCCATAGCGTCACTTCTGGTTTTCTGAGTCGTTTATTGGAGATGAGTCTCTCAGATGGGGCTGCCTGGGCTGGCTTTGACCAGGAGCCTCAGATCTTAGCCTCCTGAGTAGCTAGGATTACAGGCGTGAGCTACCAAGCCTGGCTTTTTTTCTTTTGTCAGTCGTGGGGCCTGAACTCTAGGCGCTGTCCCTCAGCTCTTCAGCTGTAGACTAGTGCTCTACCACTTTAGCCTCAGCCCCACTTCTGGCTTTTTCTGCTTATGTGGTACTGAGGAATCGAACCGAGGGCCTCATGCATGCAAGCACTCTACTACTGAGCCACCTTCCCAGCACCATGCCTGGCTTTCTTGTGGTCAATCTAGCCCTTCGTATTCCCCCATGCTGTACAGGACTCCCTTCTCTAGCGTGCTCAGGAGCCAGGCCTGAGCCAGACCCGGGGAAGCAGGCAGCTACAAGAGCGCAGAGCTCTTGTCTGTGCCCAGCAGAGTCTCTGGACCCTGCACCTTACAGCCTCCACTTGAAACCAAGCACATGCCCGAGGAGAGGGTAGGAGAGTCAGAGACAGGGTGGAGAGGAAGTGAATGGAGACAGTCGCTAGGGCAGGGGAAGTGATTCATTCACAAGGAAGTGTGAAGTGCTCTGTAGATGTCAGGGGCTGAATGAGTGGTGGGCACCGGAGATGGGTGAGCCAACCAGGACAGGCCCATCTGGAGAGCTGGAGGGAACAGTGGAGGTTCTGGTCCTTCCTCCTTGACCTTTATTATCTACCCAGGCCCTGTCCCCAGTTTGTGGTCTGTGGGGCCGTGCTCGTGCTCTGTGGCTCTGACCCTTCCTGTTCCCTGTGTCCCCCAGGACTCAGTGCTGTCTGAGAGGGACTACGAGAGCCTTGTCATGATGCGCATGCGCCAAGCTGCCGAGCGCCAGCAGCTCATCGCCCGGATGCAGCAGGAAGACGAGGGGCAGCCCACGTAGCCTGGCTCCAGCTCTCCGTCCTACAGCCCTTTTCTTAAACAGCACCAATAAACTTTTGAAAAAGCCTCTACCTCATTAAGAGTTCCTTCCACCTAGGTGTAGGGTCCTAGACTCATAAGGCTCCGCCCAGGCCCTCACCCCCTCCCCAGGAGGAGACAGATCCCCAGCAATGTCACACTTGGCAAGTCACTTGCAGAAGCCGAACAGAGGAGGGACCATGAATCAGAGCCTTTTATTGGCTTAGACTGGCTCTGCAGGCCCCGCCTGACTGATCGTGAGGTTGTCCTCCCCAGATGCGGAATCTGGCGGGGGTACCCTTGTCCTGGGGCCAGGCCTGCAGCCAGGGGGCAGCTGGGAGCAGTGGCAAGGACCTGCCCTCCTCTACACCCTGGAGCAGGACTTCTGGGGACCACTCACTGCCACTCTGTGCTGGGCCAAGGGGGTGACAATTTGGGAAGAGAGAACAGGACAGCCAGTGGAACAGGACTCGAGGGACCAGGTCCATGGCAGTGGGTCACTCCTTGTGCAGGCACCACACCAGTGTCTGGCCCACCCCTGTCATGCTCAGCACACGGAAGCCCCTGCGCTCCAGCTTGTCCAGGACAATGCGTGGCGGATCGTTGACGTAGTACTCATAGCTGCAAAGACACCGGGGTGGAGGTGAGGGACAGAGCAGCCCCCGCAGCCTGCCCCCCACACCCCCTCCCCCCCAGCTATTTGGGCAGCAGCACAGGCCCCCTTCCAGGCCGTCCTGCAGCCCTGGGGCTACAGGGTTGGCTCCTGGCGTAAGGAATGCTTGTTTGTTCCTTCTTGCAGGTTTTGGGTTTGAATCCAAGCCTGGGTGCTGCTCCTGAGCTTTTGTGCTCAAGGATAGCACACTACCACTTTGAGCCACAGTGCCACTTCTGGTTTCCTGGTAGTTAGTTGAAGGTAAGAGCTTCATGGACTTTCCTTCCCCGGGCTGGCTTCAAATGGCAATCCTCAGATCTCAGCCTCCTGAGAGCTTTTTCAGGTTTATTGGGTGTTGAAATGCCATGAAACAAAGGGGCTTGATACCCAAAACCTGGAACTCCTTTTGGGAGGACAGCGGAGTAGTCCTGGGATTTGAACTTAGGACTTCATGCTGACTGAGCCAGGCAGTCTTATTTCATTGTGAATAGGGTCTTGTGTTTTTGTTCAAAGCCAGCCTCAGACCTCTATCCTAGTATGCGTACCACTATGCCTTGCTTAGTAGTTGAGATGGCCTTGGGTAGGTTTTGTTTTGCCCAGATTGGCCTCAAACCATGGCCCTCCTACTCTGTCTCCTGTGTAGCTAGTATTACAGGTGTAATCCATCAAGCCTGGCCCAAGTTAACATCCTGAGGCAAATGTCTGTGTGCACATCATGGTGTTGGCTTCTGCCCTCCACCCCTAACCCAAGGGTCTTGTTAGGTTCATCTCCCTTAACCCCTTCCATTTGAACTGGAACTCATGTGGCAAGTCTTCTCAGTATCCTCCAACCTGTGTGGCCCGCTATTCTCTCCCACTACTGGCTAGGAAGGTCAAGGGAGCGGTATGGTCTCCGTGTAGACGCGGAGGTGGGACGATGGATGTCAAGGGAGTGGCTGATTGCCCAGGCAGCAAGCTGGTGACCTGCTGTTTGTAATGTGGAGACCTCTCTGCCGGGCTGGATCGGTGGGCCTAGTACTGAGGGGAGAGGCCAGGGACACAGTCCTCTAGGGAGTCCTCAACCCATGTGGCTGTCTGTCCTGGGCTCTTTGGCCCTTGGGCAGGACTGGGGGAGGGGGGGAATGGAGGTGCTGAGGGAAAGCTTACTCACAAATTATTTCCCAGCACGCTTCTCTTGGAGGCCCCCAGATGCTGCATCAGCTCGGGATCCGAGTACTCATCGCCCACCATGGTAGGACCCACCTCCTGCAAGGTAAGTAAGCCACAGAGGCTGCGGGGCGGGGTCTGTGGAGGCGCGCAAAGCTGGGAAGGTGGTCCCTGACTCCCCTAAGCAGAGTGGGACATGGCACTCAAGAGGACTGAGAGTTCAAGGCCAGCCTGGGCTACACGGTGGGACCTATCTCAAAAAATAAAACCCCCAAAAGATCACACCCCCAAACTACTAGAGCTTTATAAAGGGATCTTGTTTGGCAATAAAAACGATTATTATGGCTTATGGCTGCACCCAGGAGACATCCTGGTTAGAAGCTGTTTTGGGTTTGTGGCAGCGGCTCAGATAGAACAGCAAGTTCAAACCCCACGACCACTAAGTTATTTATTTATTTTTTTGTCGGTCATGGGGCCTGAACTCTGGGCCTGGGCGCTGTCCCTCAGCTCTTCAGCTCAAGGCTAGCGCTCTACCACTTGAGCCACAGCACTACTTCCGGCTTTTTCTGCTTATGTGGTGCTGAGGACTCGAACTCAGGGCCTCATGCATGCAAGGCAAGCACTCTACCACTGAGCCACCTTCCCAGCCCTAAGATAAATTTAAAACAACAAAAAACATTTGGAGGAATTGCAGGGTGTGGGGGAAGGGCCCAAAACCATCTGAACAGCCACAGGTGAGGGGTCCTGAACCACTGCCCCTCCTGTTCAGGGGTGAACGCCAGTGCCCGGTTCCACATCCACAGCCCACCGGCCCCAGAGCCCGCCCCGTCCCAGAACAAGCCAGTCCCAGAGCCCGCCCCATCCCAAAGCCCGTCCCGTCCCAGAGCCCACCTGTCCCAGAGCCAGCCCTATCCCAGAACCCACCTGTCCCAGAGCCCGCCCCATCCCACAGCCCGCCCCATCCCAGAACAAGCCGGTCCCAGAGCCCGCCCCATCCCAGAACCCACCTGTCCCAGAGCCTGCCCATCCCAAAGCCCGCCCCGTCCCAGAACCCACCCCATCCCAGAGCCCGCCCCATCCCAGAGCCCACCTGTCCCAGAGCCAGCCCTCTCCCAGAACCCACCTGTCCCAGAGCCTGCCCATCCTAAAGCCCGCCCCGTCCCAGAGAAAGCCCGCCCCATCCCAGAGCCCACCTGTCCCAGAGCCAGCCCGTCCCAGAGCC